AGGACGGTCTTAAAACGGTCTTTTCATAAAAAGACCGACTTTTATAAACGACTATTTAATCGATTAAAACCGTCTTATTTTAGTAATAATCTTTTCACGAAAAGACGAGCTCTTATAAAAAACGATTCAATCGATTGAAATAGTTTTATTTTAGCTACGATTTAAATAATTTAAATCGTTTATTTTCAGATTCTATTCAATTTTAAGTATCGGCCTAGGGTGATCCACTAGCTATGCCAGCCTCTTGGAATCGTCTTCTAAAGAGACCGTCATCGGATTGTCAGCTGACGGTTTAAATGACCCCCTACCTGCCTTTAAGGTATGTATATGTATTATTGATAATAGCTCAAGGAGGAACCAACCATTCGTCCATATACTGCTTTACACGTAATGCATCCACGTGCCAGGGGTACCTGATGATACATGGACAAAATAAATACAGACCGCCAGCTCCACCATAATACTAAGGATCGAGGCCGCCCGTAGGGCCACACGTATTCGACAGTTGTCGAGAGAAAACTCGACGCACAGCACTATGAATTGCTTTTAAGGGGCTTACAGGTATATAATTCCTCTACTTAGCACGTCGCAGTACCCTATGGGAGGTCCCCAGGGTCCAAGGCTCCAAGCATTGCGTTTTGGATACCCGCCCGACGTTAATAAAATTAAATAAATACAACAACAACAATAACAACCATAATACTAAGGTACAAGAAGAGATGAGTCTATTGTAGAGGTCCGTGCGTTCCTTAGCCTTAGCATTCTTTGGCCGAATTGTTTGTTTTTTCCTTTATCTATAATCTTTTTTATTCCTTTCTTTACGCTTTAGTCCTCTACAAAGAATTAATTAAGCGTCTCTTTAAGCAGCAGTAAGCTTTGCTTTGATAGGTTTTGGATTCTAAAAGAAGTGTTTTTCGAACTTTAGAATATGAATAAAAGATCGTGCGTTGGCTACGTAAAAGAAAGGTTTTTAAAATTTATCTTTTAAATCGTGTTCTTTTTATAAAATCGAGTATTAAAAGCTTTTGGCCTTGGTTCTTTTAAAGTCGAGAATAGCTTTTACCGCTTATAGCTTTTCGTTATTTGCATCTATCGTCGGTACATCCATATCGATCCGAGGCCCCAAAAGTTGCCACGTCAAGGCCTACTATTAGTAGTTAAGGGTGATGTGGCTAGTTCGGGTATCTTATGCACGGATGAGCATACTGTTGGATCGCCGGTAGCGATCTTTTGTAAATGAATATTCGTAACTGTTAGATTGCTTCTAAGCGATTGGGAATATATATTCGTAACTTCGTAAAGTCGTCAAAGTACTTGCAATTGCAAAACACTCGGTTGATAAGGTATTTAAATTCTGTCTACTCCTTAAGACTTAAAGGAGCTGATTCCTTTTATATGATTAGAAGGAATCACGTGTACTAGCTAACTAATAGGTTTACTTGTCAAGTTAAAGGTCCCTTGATTGCTGATATGTTAAGCGAAGCATGCTAAATAGCCCGTGAATTATAGTTCACGCGTAAGCTCCCTTAACTACTACTACTAACTACCTTAGCGGAGCAAGCCGAGATTCTAGAACCGTGTAGCGGACCGTGTAGCAGGTCTATACGGTTGGCCACTATCTTTCAAAACAGCTCGGTTGATAGATTTTAAACCGTGTAGGTATTTAAACCGTGTAAAAGTTTTAGACCGTGTAGATATTTTTAGACCGTGTAAGACTTAAGCGAAGGCTGCGCTTAAAAGGATAATCCGAGCGGGGTAATTGGTGTGGCTGTGCGCTAAGCTATTACATCCAAATAGAAGCAAGTCTGAATTCAATTGGTAAAGGCTATTTACTACTACCTCCACTTCTGCTAGATTGCCACCTCTACCTTAGCGCTCTCTTTTAGACCTTTTATAATCTTCCAGCTTATAAAATGATGTTAGTGATATCGGACCGTAAAGTTGGAAAGAAAAGGAGCCTAAAGACTTAAAGATCAGCTTACTTATATTAAGAAGAAAGAAAAAGAAAAGGAAAGGGAGAAGGAGAGGGAAAGAGAAAAGGAGAAAGAGAAAAGGAAGGAGCTTGAAGGCTAGCGCGTCTATCATTACCAGGGCAGAGGACCAAGTTCTCTGTAGTGTCACC